GTATAATTTTTAGCCTATTATGCCAACCTAATTTACGAGCGATAAGGTACAACCACTTTGTTGTTACGTATACTCGATTGTATATAAACGTAAGTTTATATATAACGACCTCGCATATATAACTGGAACGCAAATATTGACGGTTGACTATAGCGATGCGCAAGTGATATCAGCCAGCGATGAACTTAGCCTTCCAATTTACCTATACGCTTTTCTATTTCGATATCTATCATTTTTAACTCCCCTCCCTTTCTCCCCCTAACGTTTAATTCGTCAGAATTTCATCGATTTCGAATTCTCACATTTCCACATATCGTTCACACATTTTCTCCGTGAATCTTTGCTAAAAAAAATTGGAAAAAAAGTTTCAAAATTCGGGATATGTAATGCAATTTTTCATCCATGTTCCACTCCACTCGACGCGTAAAGCTCTCGTTTTTCAGGAAGCGAAACGATAGCTCGGTGAACGTCATGGAACACCGAGGCATCGTTTTCCCTGTGGCACGCGATCCGTTCCACCTTTCTTTCTCCTTTTCCACGGTTGGACGCGCCTTGGACGAGGAGGAAAGGAATCCTCGATGCAAAAGCGTGTTGCATCGTCTTCGAATTACGCGAACGTGGCGGAACACGCCGAATATTCGACGCGGGATTGCGTAAGCGTCGCGTAGAATGCGACGCGGAAACGGAGGGGTCGATTATCGATTTTTCTGCGGCTCGATCAGCCGGTTCGCCTTGCAACTTGTCTTGCATGCTACGCGTGCTATATACGAGCCACGCGTATACTTTTATTCGCGATGTTGGCCGCGCGTCTGTGAAATTATTCTCTCCTCGCGACCCCTTCGCGCGTAACATCGTCCACATTCCATACTTCTCGATGCTTGGTCCCGTTATTATTATAGTTTCGTTCGATGTCCTGAGCGTAATTGTTTTTTAAACCACTCGATAAATAGGCTTTGCATTGCGCGTCATGGATCGGATAAGAATGATAAGAGCGAATGATAAGCGATAAGATTTAGAGATAACGAGAGTCCCTCGATCGGTGCATAGATCGTTGATTCTCCGTTCGAGGTTTGGCAAAGGATTCTGGGGAATCCTGATTGATAGTTGTTTGCGAAACAACTATCGAGAATAGAATTCTTCTTTTGTTCTTTTAACGCGTAAAGATAATATTGGAATTATCCTTTTGTTTGGAATTCGATAGGGGATTCCATAGAATTCCGAGAATTTCATAGAATTGAGAATTGTTTGCGCTCGTAGGAGAGTTCTTCTTTCGTTTGTTAATAATATAAAAATAATATTATACTATTCCTTCGTTTGAGATTCAAATAGGGGATTCTGTAAGATCCTCGTTGAGATTTGATTGTGATTCAAATATTAGATACTACGATAGAATTCTTCTTCGTAATTATGTAAAAACATTGTTGTTTGCGTTAGATATAAAGATGATTCGATTTGTCGAATGATTCAAGGGTGGATGATTATACTATGACGAGAGAAATATTCTAAGAAATATTTACTTTGGAAAAAAATATTTGAATAGATAATGTATAATAAGAATTTCTAACTTAAAAGTTTCTTATAAAGTGATTTTAAAATACGTTATCGTAGATAGAGTTTGTTTTGTCGATGCAAAAATAGATATACTTTCTTTTTAAAACTTAACGTATGGAATAATATAATCGGCAAAGATTAATTAAATTTGTTATAATATTTTCGCATATTTTTCGATATTTATAACAATTTCATGGTTTAATTCAAATTAAGCCTGTTATATAATAATAAGATAAATTTCAAGTTGATTTTAATTGATCAATATTCAATTCAACATTTGAAAGAATTAGTAAAAAAAAAATAAATAAATAAATAAAAATCGAACAAAAATAAAGTTTAAAAATTAATCGAACTTGTAAAAAATTCGGTGGATAATTCGCGAAATTTTACGAAAAGATTTGTTTTAGCAATATTTTTGGCGTGGAAAAAAAAATGTAAGAAATCGTAATAATTAACAATTAATAAATGTTTCTATGTTTAAACGTTCCCGCTTGATGACGTCAGCCAGTCTAGCCAATATAATAAAGACTGATGACGCAAACATTCGATTCTCAAAGCTGTAGCGCAACGATAATTGTTTGGATAGGTGAAAGTTACGTAGCGCGATCCATAAATTATGAGATCGCACATGTGTACGCGTGTGTGAAACTTTGATGACACGATGATCGAGAAACGATTTTACGATCGAGTTTGAAAAGTTTCGAGGAGAATTTTCATTTTTGATCGATGGATATACATATACATGGGATGGATGATAAACAATCGAAGGATTCTTTTCCAACAGCGTAGCAATGAAACGAAGAAATGGACGAGCGAGATGAGTAGTCTTGACCGGAAATTTTTCTCGAAGCGGCAAATTCAAACGATCGGCGCGCAACACGAACGATACAACGTAAAGTTCACGCGATTAACAATCAAAAGAGAGATACAATCGTATAATTTGGAAGAGAAGATATAGGTTAAAATAAAAGCGAATTACGTTTAAATCAATCTCGAGGATCGTCAATTTTCTTAATAACATGATTCTATTAAAGTTACTCGTGATAAGAGGTGATAATTTATACTTGTAAAATTTACACTTTTTCCTGCTACGATCAGTTGAGTATATCGAATACGTCTAGTAATTAATAACGATTCAATCTAATTGTCAATCAAATATTTAAGCGCTACGCTAGCTACTCAAGGAGGAATTGAATTAATCGATAAAATCGTTCGATAAGGAAAAAAAAAAA